CCTGCCCTATGGAAGAGGCTCTACAGAGGCAGGGACCATGAATGTTCCTTGGAGCAGCTGGGGACAGACCCGATTCACTACAAAGCAGCTGGTGGCCATTGGTTTCTGCATCTCTAAGACATACACACCCCATTTACCCCACAAGGTTACTGGGCAACAGAGCAAAAGAGATGAAGCTGGCACAAATGCTTCATAAATGTGTAGTATGACACCCACAGGGTCGCCGGGAGCTTGTCTTTCCCCAGCCTGCAATGGATTACTCTGAAGGGCTCTATGGGCCCAGGCAACCATCGAGAGGGAACCTGCTTCTCTCTCTGCTGCACTCAACTCAACCTGAGAGGTGGCTTTCAGAGGGAAGTGCCCCCTGACTGGCAGCCTTGTTTGAGGACTCTTTCACCCAACGCTTCCCTATCCCTAGGGAAAGGCCGAGTGATTACCGGGAAGGCATCTGGTACGTCATCATGACACTGTCGTCAGTGTCAGCCATCAGCAGCCAGACGGGGTCCTGGAGGACATACTTGATGAAGTGCTCACTTTCTTCCATGTCTGCCTTCGCTTTGGCTTTGTGATTATTCTCTGAAGAGTCAACGCTTCCAAAATATTTGCTGGTGTGGCTGGTGTTACTACTGCCTTCAAACACAAAAAGTGGTGGGTTAGACCACTAGTGCCTTACAGACCATGCTTGTGGACACATGCTGGGTTAGGGAGCCAAGAGTCTTATTTGGTAGCTTATTTGGTGGGTTTCCCCTTTTCTTCCCAGTCCTTGAATTACCTGGATAATTAAAATGGGATACCAGCTAGTAGTGCCATGGAGTGGCTCTCCTGGGGAGGCCTGAGCAATCATGCTCCCTTTCCTAGTGTTCAGCACCTCTCCACCAAAACAGGCCACAGAGAAGTTGGTTTTGGCTTTGTAAGCGGAGGCAGCTGGCCTAAGCGTGTTCCAGCGAGCCTCCCGGAAGGAGCAAGGCCAGAGAATGGAGAAATGGAAGTTCAGTTTGGGGCAGCAGGGATCTTTGAGTTTGTGGGGAGGACCCGTTTTAATGTGTCCAGATCACACTTGTGCGATCTGGTGGGTGAAGCACGCCATCCATATGCTAGGCTGACCCAAGGGGAACCAACTCAGGAAGGCAAAGCCTGGCCGGCCCTCCCAGCCTGCCCAGGGAACCTGGGGGATGGTCCAATAAGGGCCAGTGGGGTGTGAGGCCTGCAGTGGCCCTGACATGGAAGCCAGCAGGTGAGAATGCGAGTTCTGACTGGGTAGGGCCCGCCACCTAGAGGCAGAGCCCCTGTCTGCCTGTCTGAACAGCTGTGAGCTTTGAGTGCCAGCTCGACACCTGGTGTGCACCTGGTGCCAGGCCAGGGGTGGGCAAACTTTTTGACTCGAGGGCCACAATGGGATCTTAAACTGGACCGGAGGGCTGGAACAAAAGCATGGATGGAGTGTTTGTGTGAACTAACATAAATTCAAAGTAAACATCATTACATAAAAGGGTACGGTCTTTTTTTTCAATAGTTTTATTCATTTCAAACGGGCCGGATCCGGCGGGCCGTAGTTTGCCCACGGCTGTGCTAGGCCCTGAGCACATATGGCCTGTGGCTCCAGTGCAGCTGGGTCCCTCTAGTGCGGGAGAAGTGGAGGCTGCCCAAGAACCTCAGGTACCAACATACCTGTCCCAATTCTGGATGCATCGCAGCCCAGAGAGCTGGAGCCCAGAGAGTCTGAGGTGGCAGAGGCCCCACTTCCAGACAGGGCTGACCCTGCAGCTGAGCAGAGGTCCTCGCGCAGTAAGAGGTCAAGCAGGTCACTGGACGTGGAGAGGGCATCACTGTTCTGGGCATCTGAGGGCTCATCTTGCTTTAGGAACAAGAGAAGACACCAGTCAAGACACAGTCAGGACATAGCCCCTCAGAGCTGGGGACAGCTGCAAAGCGACTGTCTGCACAAAGCCACTCAGGGAGAGAGTGGATGGCATTCCTCCTCAGACCCTGCCTTTTCACGTGCCAAATGAACAGACCTGTGGCTATTAGGACTACAGCGAGGATCTAGGTGGTGGCCTATGAATGCACCTCATTCAGGTAGATTTTGGGAGAATCACACAGTTCTCACATCGCGGGGGGCGGGGGGAAAGTTTTATGCCTGTTCCTCCACTACAGCCGACACAGAGGTAGAAGAGGCCACCACATAACCCAAGGCTGCTCTTTGGTAGTGGGTTCTGGCTTCCTGTACCTGTGCCCTAGAGTGGAGGCAATCCTGGGAGCACCCCAACCCTCCAGCCATTGAAACTGGGACTATCGGCCAGACCCCAGAAACAGGAGCGGGGAGGGTGGCAGACACCTTGGGAGGCTGATCTGTTTCCTGGGTCCCACTTCCTCTCCTGGGAGTATGCCCTCCATAGAGCACCTACTGGTTGCACTGCCATAGCTCAGGCCACTGCACACTGAGCTGTCAGGACACAAAACCTGTGGTAAACTCTAATTTCATTAATGGATTAAGAGTACGCCAGCAGTCCTGAAGGCACAGGAGAATGGGGCAGCTGGCTCACCGTGAGAACCTCTGCCCCCACCGCCCTCTCAGGAGCTGAGTTCTGGCATTTACCTAGCTGTGCTGTGTGCTCATATTTGTCACATAAAATCTCAAGCCCGCCCTGGCTGGTGTGCTCAGTGGTTAGAGTGTCCCCCATGTACCTAAGGGTTGAGGGTTTGATTCTCGATCAAAGGCACGTACCTGGGTTGTAGGTTCAATCCCTGGCCCTGGTCGAGGAATGTGTGGGAGGCAACCAATCAATGTGTCTCTCTCAAATCAATGTTTCTCTCTCTCTGCCTCACCCCCTTCCCATCCCTTCCACTCTCTTTAAAAAACAATGGGAAAAATATCCTCCGGTGAGGATTAACAAAACAAAAAAGAAACAAACAACTTCAAGGCCCATGACAACAAGTCACAAAGTCATGTGGGCTGTTTGGACCTTTCACATATCATCAGACAATCAATCTTCCTTAGTTCAGATCCAAGACAATAAAAAGGCCCCACATCTACTCTGATGAGGTTGTTGAGCTCGAAAACATTAATTTCCAGCACAGGTATTTATGTCAAAATTGAAATACTTGGTGGGACCCTTGGCCTAAAACACTGGCGTCTGAGATGATGACCTACCGTGGGTGCTGCGGGGCCACCCGCTGTAGAGAAAGAGCAGCAGGGGATCCTTGCATTCGGCGGTGCCTTTGGTGGCCAGTCCCAGGATGTGCCTGGTTTGCAGTCCGGCCCAGCACCTGCTGTCTCTGCTGTCCCTGCAGCTGTAGTACTGCCCTCAGGGGCCTCCTCCAGCTGGAGTAGGTTGAGCTGCAGGGGTGAGCTGCCACGGGACTGGAAAAGTGGTGGGGAGGCCCGACCCAACGGCCCGGTGGACGACATTGGTGTAGCTGGGGTGGCCACACGTGACACCGGTGGCCAACGCTCTGCCCGAGGACAAGCACACGACTGTTTGGGGGGTGAGGTTTGACCAGGGAACTCAGGCTGCGAGGCAGGGACCATCTGGCCAGGGAAGAAGGTCGGGGGCAAGTTTGGGGTCACTGTGGGGAAGGGATAGCTGGGTAACACCAAGGCCATGACTGGGGCCAAGGGAGCAGTGAAAGGTGGGGGCTGGATGTCCATGGGCACAGCAGGCACCGCGAAGCTGGTGTGGGGCTCCATAGGTGCTGCTGCCACGGCCCCTGGCACTGGTACAATTCCTGTGGCTGGGAGCACTGGCAGGGAGTAAGCTGGCACGGGGGTAGGGAAGGGCATCGAGGGGCAGCTGGACTGGGATGTGTCTGATGGTGACCAGGCTGTGGCATTCAGGCCCACCAGCGGGGGCCGGTGGGGCACGGAGCCCCCAGACCCAGTGCTTTCAGAGGAGTCCCGAGGCTTGACCCGTTTGGACTTCAGTTTTCTGTTCTTCCCAGTTTTTTTCCAAGCTGAATCTATTCCACAGGTGTTTCTTAGTCCAGGAGGAGCTACAATAATGGGAAAACAACCAGAGTTGAAAATGTACATGATGTCTATTACGTCAATTCTCAGAGACACATAGAATCTCAGAAACTTGAAGGCACCTCCTAGTTTAACAGTCCAGTGTTCCCAAATGTTAGCCTGGGAACTGTGAAAAACACCATACGGTTTCCCTGATCCTTGGTGCAGGGAGAAAAATCAGGGCAAAATGTTAAGTTTTTATAAAACTGGATTCAATCAATTTAAAGGACCATTCTTAATTGCAAGATCACATTTGTTTTCTTCTGACATTAAAATGTCCTTTCTTTTATGAAATAATGACGGTCATAAGTGGCATTAAAAAGGTTTTATTTGTCCCAAAAGATAAAAATCAAAAAGCTGGCAATTCTAACCTGTTCCCCAGTACTGGTGTGTGAAATCAGATGTCATCTAAGCTGATTTTTGGATTGTATGAGCTTTACCACTACTGGTCCTTAAAAAGAGCTGCTTCCTGTCTCGCCTGTGATTCCACCCGAGTGCAAGTCAAAGGGCGGGAAGGAGCACTTGCCCTCAGAGCCAGATTCTTCCTCTCCTGTGACAAGTGGCTGAGCTGAGCTTCTTTAGGAGGCTGGAGGGTCTCAACTGGTGACAAAAGGGACTCCGGGCATGTCCCCTTGCCTCCCGTGGCCATGGGCCAGCACCAGGAGTACTATGGCCGGGCACGGGGGGCAGTAAGGGGGGTTGAGGGGGAGAAGAGTCATGCCAAGCCTGGCTGGGATGGGCAATGGGATGGTCCCAGGAACCTCAGGTTTTCCTGTCAAGGCACACAGGCTGACTCAGGGTTTTGCAGCAGGTGTGTGGGACACCTATTAGCCATGCCAAGGGGGTCCTCACCTTTGCTACATGCTGGAGGCAAGTGGGCCAGCCAGAGGCCAACTGCTAAGAGGGCAGAGGTTTTGGGATTCAGACTCTCTAGCGGGTGTTCTTCCAGAAGGAAATCTGCCCCTGGTGGGACTGGTAGCTAGAGCACTGGGCTCCTGGAATGCCATGTCAGGGTCTGGGCAGGCCGCTGTACACAGCTCTGTAGTCTGTGCACCTCGCAAACTGCTAGGCCAAGGGGGCAAGGAGCTGCAACTCTGTCCCAAGCCAGGTCCACTGGGTGGGTCTGCCCAAGGCTGGGAGGACAACTTTTTGCAATATCCAGAGGTTCCCTAGGGCCTGGCAGTGACCTTGGGTCTGGGGAAGAAGAAAATGACAAAGAGTAGAGAAGACAATCTTTACAGAGGGCGTTGGCCTCTCGCACTTCATATTCACTTCATTGTGCCTGCCCTGAGGCCCAAGGGAGTGGGGTCTTGTGCTGTGTGTCTCCTGCACTCGATAACCCTGACCCTGGGTCAAGCCCTGGGAGCCCAGGACAAAGGTGGCATCTCTGACCAGCCCAGCCTTGCCCATGGGGCCTGGGAAGGTGGCTAGGAGTCTGGAGCCAGGCTCCTGGACCAGAAAAGGGGCAAAGATGCTAGTCTATTCTCCCTCACCCCTTGCCCTTCAACCACCTGGTGGCAATCTGCCTAAAGGAGAGCGCATGCACCCACAGGCTCTGGAGGCTGCAGCCCAGCCCTGAGTCAGCCTGGCCAGGAGGGTACATCTTCTGGTATCAGCTTGGACTCCCTCCTTCCTCAGGAGCCGACACCAAGTACCCCAATCAGTACTGTGCCCATTCTCTTTGGGGTGAGTTAGCTGTGGCCTGACTGGTTTTCTGAGGCCCCATTGGGGTGGGCAGGTGGGGTGGAGTCCCCTGCACCTCACAGTCACTCAGGCAAGAAGTGTCTGATGAGGTGGCTTTGCAACTGCCCCATCCTGCACTCCACCACCATTTAAAGCACCGTTCCCTGGGGAACATGAGATGACATGCTTGAGAGGGGACGATGGAAACAGATGGCATCACTGGTAAAGTGCCAACAGCAATCTTACAAACTCAGGCTTCCTAAGCTGGGGGCATTTCACACTTTGAGAGCTGCCCTGACTCAGTACTATTAGGAATAAAGGTTTTTTAAATTCACATACAATTCAGGTATCACCACCTACCTCTTTCACTCAACTGCCCCTTGGCTCTTTCTTGTAAGTAATAACTGCAGTGAGACTGGAGGACACTAAGTTTCCTCGTTTCCTTGAACTTCAACAGGAAGCTCTGCTCCTCCTTCTGGGTGTGGGCGGCCAGCACTTCCTTGGTGAGGCCCAGCCTCCGGAAGGGCTCCTTCTCCTGGCTTAGGCTGCAGGGCACGGCGGGGCCCACGGGGCAGTCCAGGGACTCAGGTCCACTTGCAGGGTCTTCCGCCATCTCTGTAAGAGAAAATGGAGACCACTCATCTGCAAGGGCCCCTGTGCTTTAAAACAACTGACAGACCCTGAGGCCACTGCCATGCGAGATACTGCACGAAGCCCCCACACGGGGGTGCAGTCCATGAATGTCTGTGTAGCCTTCTGAGAAGGTTCACAATAAAAGGCAAACAGCAATGGCAGAGACCCTACTCCCCAGGGCTCCAGGGTCAGTCTGCTCAGGCTGAAGTTCGGGTACCTCGGGGCTTCAGCCTCTGACAGGGAAGATACGCTCTGGCCGTCATCAGCTTCAGAGCACAACAGACGAAGGCTGTGCCCAGGTTCAGGACTATGGACATGACAGCTCGGATCATGTGGAACTGGGGTACAGACAGGACAGGGGCAGGTGGATGCAATGACCGTCCTGGAAGGGGGTCTGGACACTGACTCTGACATGTATTTTTTACTCATCGTCTCCCTCTTCTGGAGAACTTGGAGATGCCACCCTTGGCTGTACTGCTGCTCAGACCTGTACTGGCTCTTTCCTGCCCTCACACAGGGAAGCAGGGGCCCTGAAGGGAAGGGCGAAGCCGGCAAGGGAAGCGGGGTGAAGGATCCAACGCCTTAGGGTGCTCTCAGCCCAGTGAGGGGAGGTTGCTTTGGATCCCTGGCTCAGCCCCACCACGTCTGAGCAGACAACTGCCAGTAGGTGGCGCCAGAGCACAGCGGGAATCAAAACAGGTGGGGCCACACCTTGCCCTGCATGTCAGGTCTCTGGATTTCCTGGACCCCCTTTATCAGGCTGTGGTAGGGCTGCACTGCACTTGCATAAACTTAAAGAAAAATTTAAGATGGCAGTCAAAACCTCTCATTTTTATTGTTAAAATTAGCTTACTCTCAACATTATCCCAGAGGCAACAAGCGTACCTAGCTCAGGTTGTGGCTTCTTGTCACCCACGTGCACGATGGTGCTGCTGTAGCTGCACTGGCTGGTAAGAGACACCACGCTCCCCGCCTTGCCGGGCAGTGTCAGTGAGGTCAAGTGCGCGCTGACGTCCGCATGTGTGTTTGCTCTAGAGGGCACCACTGCCTCTTTATAAGAGAAAATGGAAGGAGACACAAAAATGCAATGAAAACGAACCATTTGTGTAAGAAATGCCACTGTCTAGCAGATCCTATACCCAAGTGATTGCACACATCCTGGCATGTGACAGCTTATCTTCATGTGTTTATTCATGGGGGAAAAGTGGAGAAGAGAAGTTCTGAAATGGGAACAATTCGACTCTTACATCCTGGGTCATCTGGGAGGGGCAGGCGGTTGGGCAGCTCAGGGGGCTCAGGTCAGGGGCCTCTGCTGGGAGCCCAGCCCCTTGAAGGTCTGTGGGCAGAGCACAGACTGTCCATCACAGCATGACTGTCCAATTGCATGTGCTTACATCACAACAGGATACCTGATTTCCCATCCTAGTAATGACCACCGGGATGAGCACCACGTTCAAGTGGCCTGCCGTTTAACCTAACCCTGTGGTCGGCAAACTGCCACTCGGGAGCCACATGCGGCTCTTTGGCCCCTTGAGTGTGGCTCGTCCTAAGCCTTAGGAGTACCCTAATTAAGTTAATAACAATGTACCTACCTATATAGTTTAAATTTTAAAAATGTGGCTCTCAAAAGAAATTTCAATCATTGTACTGTTGATATTTGGCTCTGTTGACTAATGAGTTTGCCGACCACTGATAACCTAAGTGGATATTCAGACATCATGGAAAAGGACCAGCCTGAGAATGATACCCTGAGGCGCCCCTGGGCCTCCAGCAGCCCCAAGGGGTCCTGTTTCTCAGAGTCCAGAGTCACCTTTACATCTCTCTTATAGGAAGGTGGCTGACGTTTATGTACCATAGTCATTTACAAAAGAGCTTACACCCCACACTGTGTCCCCAAAGCCACTCAGAACTCCCATGGGAGGAGCGAAGGGGGCTCCAGCCCTTCTAATGATGCCTGATCTCACCAGGGGGATTTAACAGCCCAAACAGGATACCTGCAGGAGGTGGCCTGGGGCTGCCTGTGGCCTTCCGCTTGTCACTGGCCTTCTGCGTGGAAGCATTCAAGGGGAATTCACACTTTCTCTTCAGGGTGGTGGCCTCACTGCAGCTCTCCAAGTACCTGTGAGGAGGATCACAAACGGCTTCACATAATGGGCCAGAGCCTGGACAGCAGGAGACCATGGAGTAGGGAGACTGGAGGTGCCTGTACCTGATGACACTGTCCAGGCAGCTGATCTGCTGGTAGGAGCCGGCCGGCTGGTTCCTGCAGGCCAGCTCCTCTGGAAAGGCGGCAGTGGGTGGGCTGGCACCGGAGCTGTCCTCTGCGGCCGGGACAGCTGTCGTCTGAGCAGGAGAACTACTTTGCATTTCTGAAAGAACGGCAAAATTGCTTTCAGTTAATACTTGTTTTCCCCAGAGTACACTCTGTATATTTCTACCTAAGGATAAAGCTGGGGACTCAGAACATGGCTCACAGACACAGAAACCCAGAGTCAGCCTGACACCTGGGCAGCCCTGCTGGGGCAGCGGCCACTGTGCCGTCTGAGGATGGAGCCTGGAGGATGCTGTTGACTGGGATACAACTGAGTGGCACTTGGGTCAGGGACTCAGCAGTGGGTGAGGCCAGCTCTTACTCGAACTCCTGAAACTCTGGGGCCAATAAATCCCAGGTGCTTTCTGATCAATTAGTATTCCCTGCCTCCTGGAAGTCCCTTCTTTTCAAAGGTGACTCAGCAGCCTCTGGGGCAGCCCGCCGTGGACACTTCTGTTCTTGTCACCACGTGCACTGCATGCTGTTCCCCTGGGGGCCTCCAGGGCAGAGCTGTGTCCTGCTCATTAGTGGGTCCCCAGCACCCAGCAATGTGCGCCTATCCCAGAGGCTAACAGTCCTGGCCAGAGGTGAGCTCTGGCCCCAAGATTCCCTAGGAAGCTCCCTGGAAAGATGTGGCCTAAGCACAAAGGATGAGTGAGAGCCCACCGGGGCAGATGCCTGGGGAGCATGCATGTGCACACCTGAGCAGGGGCCCAAGCATGAGGGTATAAAGTCGTGACATGGTAAGGCAGGGTCAGGCTGCAGTGGGGGTGGGCTGACAGGTCCCCATGCTGGTGGGGCCCCACTTGAGAAGGCAGCCCAGGAGCAAAGCTGGCACTTTCCACTCAGACAGAGTGGGATTTGAGTGTTTGCAGGACAGCTGGGCAGCGCCCTTGGTGCGAGTGTATGCACACGTTCACTTGCATGCAAACATACGCCCACGGCCATGCTGTGGAGCGAGGGCCTGCAGGGTGCCAGGTGCCCGCACAGAAGCTTAGGGCTGTGCTTTTTGTTTTTGAAATATGTGTTTATTGATTTCAGAGAGAGGAAGGGAGAGAGAGAAACACTGATGAGAGAGTATCATCAATCAGCTGCCTCTTGCACACCCCCTACTGGGGATCGAGCCTGTAACCTTGGCCTGTGCCCTGACTGGGAAGCGAACCAGTGACCTCTCGATGCATGGGACAATGCTCAACCAACTGAGCCACACTGGCTGGGCAGGGCTGTGTGTTGAAGTGAAGGAGTGAAGGCCTTGCTGCCTGAGGGACTGGGCGGGGGATGTGCACACATGTAAAGGGTAAAGTCCCTGCCACCCACAGTTCAGGTAAAAGACAGAAAAACCTGGCCGGACTACAGTTTTACTGAGGAAAGGGTGAGTAATTTTTTACCTGTAGCAGATTTTCTCCTCTGTTCTCCAGATTCATCAGAATAATGACTTTTGGTTTTGACCTTGTTCGCATTTTTAGAATTTTCCTTGAATAAAGACAAAATAAGTACGTTATTCTCTATCGGAGACTGCATGGTACTTCAGCCCCACCTCAAGGAGGGAGAAGCCAGAGTAATCCCAGCGAGGAGGAGGAGGTGCTGAGTGGGAATCTGTGAGGCCAAGTTAGAGAAAACGGACCTGTGATTAGGAAGAATAATAAAAAGAAAGGGGGATGCACGTTCCATTTTCTTCCTTCTACCCTAAAGTTAAACCATCCCTCTTGCTTGATTTGCCTTCTTTAAATAACTTTTCATCCAAAGCTTTAACTACAGTTTTAGCTGCTTCAACTATTTTCCCCCTTTATTTTCTTTTTAATCCTCATCCGAGGATATGTTTTTATTGATATTAGAGAGAGAAGGGAGAGAGAGATGTCACATTGATTGGTTACCTCCCGTATGCACCCTAACTGGGGATCGAACCCACAATCTGGGTATGTGCCCTAGGGACTGAACTCATAACCTTTTGGTGTATGGGACGAGGCTCTAACTGAGCCACCCGGCCAGGACTTGCTGCTTCAACTCTTAGAGATGATAAAGTAAGTCCCCATGAACAGAACTTAGAGAGCAGCCAGGGTTGGTTGAATGTGCTTTGTGACTCCCGCAAGCACCACAGACAGGTTCCCAGGGGCGGGGCAGAGGGACCTACTGCTCTCCTCCGGCGGGCGTCCTCCTGGCCATTGCTGTCACTGGAGGAGGTCTGGCTCATGAGGTGTTCGTGGGACCCATTGCTGCCCAGGCTCCCGTAGCCGCTGGAACCACTGTGCGGGACGGGCTGGGAAGAGAGCAGACAAGAGGCTTAGGTACAGGGTTGGGGAGGGGCACAGCTGGCCTGTGGGCTTGTCTTCCCGAAGCCCGATTCACAGCTCTCAGCCTCTGCCCACAGCACCAGGGTCCCTGGATCACAGGCCCTCTGCTCACATGAGGGGGGGGGGCGGTGACGGGCGCTGATCTTGGTTCTAGCAAGGGTTTTAGAAACTAAACTTGATATGTTACAGTTTTGCCCCAGTCTGCTGACCAGGAAGCCGAGAGCGGCTCAGCCATGGGGTTACTGTGCTCGCACTAGTTTTCCTCGAGTACTATGTCCCCAAGGATAGTGGTAGGTGTTCACAAGTCCCTCTTCGTGCCAGCACAGCATCCTGAATTGGAGTGACCCCATCCACCTGTGGGAGGTGACATGTGGGGTTAGTACCCAGGACTTGGGAGCTGAGTTGGGAGAAAGGGTCTAGGTGCATCCTTCAGCCATTAGCAAAAGGCTGCAGGTCAGAGACAGACCCCGAAGTGCAAGGCTGGGCTGCCCCAACCTGGGCAAGCAACAGGTGTGCCCAATTGTCGGGGCCTGGCACAGACTTTGCCCAAACCGCCCACAGAGTGGACAAGAGAACAGGCACCAGGGTGCAGGGCAGAGTGAGACGCCGGAAGGATGGGACCTCAGGACTCAGAGCAGTCCTCAGGCTGCCCACAAGGTAGTGATTGTCCTGCGGGTGGGCACTCACCTGCAGCAGCAGCCGGTGGATCTGCTCCATGAGCTCCTGGATGCTGGGGTGCAGGGCCGGCTGTTCCTCTGCGCACGGCTGAGCAAACACATCCTCGTTCAAAGGGCCCCTGCGTGATATCCATGGTCTGACAGTCAGGCTGTGCTGCACGCCCTGCAAGGCCCTGCTTCCTCTCTGCAGCCCCCCAGGCTGCCACCTGCCTGCTCACCACTCTCTTCCTCCCCCTCACAGCTCTGCTTGAACTAGGCCCCTCCCACTTGGGGGCAGGGCAGGGCAGGGGCAGGTCCCCACAGGACTGCCTAGCGGCCCAGGGCCCTGGGAGCACTCACACTCTGACTCTGTGCCTCCCGATGATGAAGGAGATCTTCCTGCTCCAGGGGTTGACGAAGCTGGACCAGCTGGTGTCCAGTGTGATGTACTCCCCATTCCGGGTGCGGAACCGAAGGGGAGAGTAGTCACCTTCCCCATATTGACCCTTTCTAGCTGCCCCTCCCCCCTCAGTCCTTCCCCACCCTATTGTCTGTGTCCATGGGTTTAGAGAAAAGACAAGCCCAGATGCCTCAAGTTCACGGCTATTTGAAAATTTAAGAGCTGCCAACAGCTGGTCTAAGCTGCAGCTCTCAGTCTCAGTCAACTTTGTGTGTGTGTGTGTGTGTGTGTGTGCTTTTGTCCCACACAGTAGCCACTCTTGCAAATCAACCTTGGGAAGTTAGCATTCTTAATGAAGATCTATAGGAGACTTTCTCCTTAGACAGTAAATCAGCTCTTCCAGGGCACCATCCATCTCTTCCTTCGAGCGCATGAATTGGTATATGGCACCTTACAACAGCTCATTTATCTTACGCGGGTCCCTGGTTATTCCCTCTGCCCGGATGTGCCCCCAACCCATGTACATGCCCTTGACCGGAATCGAACCTGGGACCCTTCAGTCCGCAAGCCGACGCTCTATCCACTGAGCCAAACCGGTCTCGGCAACCGTTCCATTTTCAATCACAACAAATGTTTGTTTTTGGCCACATCATGATGTTTCAGGACGCACATCTCTGTTAGCTTCCACTGGACGTCTCCACGTGTCATTTGTATCCATGAGGCCTGGGCTTTGGGGCACACGTGTGACCACTACCCCAGCCTGGCCACTACCTCGCCCACCACAGCTGAACTTGTGCCCCCTCCTCCCACCTGCCGGGGATACCAACAGTAAGGACAAGATGTCACTCAGGCTATAGGCCACAAAGGACCCACAGACAGTGCCAGGACTCTGGCAGGAGGTGGGGCATCCATCACCCATACAATGCAGGCCAGTCTGACCTATCTTTGCTGGGTGCTGACCTCGGGAGACACCCAGGCACATACCAGCTTTTGTCAAAGCCTTTACGATTCACCAGGAGAAGGGACCTACTCTTTTTGTGGATGGCAAGCATCAAGGGCCGGTCACTGGGGTGAAGCTTCAGAAGCACGGGAGTCTCGATCAGGTCTTGAGGTAGGTAGCCCAGGAGCGGGACCGCTCTGCAAGACAAGTGCACAGGCGTGTCACCCCTGCTGCTGTGCTTGGGGACACATTCCATAATGCAGCCTCCAAACAGGGGAGCAGACCATCTCTACAACCATCCGTCCATTCACAAGGAAAGAAAACAACTACCAGCTCTCCTAATAGCCCCATTTACAGGATCAAAATTTAGGAATTAGGCTAACAGAGAAGCAGTCTTTCAATTAATTAGTGAAAGATTACAGCATTCCCATGGGTCTGTAATACAAAACAAGACCCTACAAGGTCCCACCCATCATAAGCTGAGTGGTTTTAGCTTTGTGTTCATTTTCTGAAAGAATCAATCATGAAAATGTTCCTTTTCTTCTGTTAAGATCTTTTTCTTTTTTGTGTTTCCTAAGTTTGGCCCGATATGGTCTGGCATGGATATTTTTTATTTTAAATTTTTTTGGCCTGGATATTTTTAACAAGTTTTGAAAACTTTTTAACAAGCCTATACCTGGAAACCCTGCCTGCACGTCTTCTCCAGCCCAAGAGGTTTTCCTGCTCCTGTTACTGTGGCCACTGTATTTATTCCTTATTTTCTGTGGCTTCCCTGGGGGTCACCAGTACTGCCTGGAGACCTGCCCTCAGTGCCCACTGATCTTCTTGTAAAAGCTGTTTGTTTTCCAAGAAATCGTTAGTGTCCCTCTTCCCAGAGTCCTGTCCCCTCTGCTGTCCAGTGCCCTCTGCTGTCCAGTGCCCTCTGCAGCCTGGCCGCTCTCCCCTCTCCTGAGCTGCAGCCCAGCCTTCCTCTCCTCGGGCAGTGTTCTTGCGTCCACACAGATGTTTTCCCAACTCTTCTGCTCATGTGGAAGGACAGTCTCCTTTGAGTCTGAGAGAGGCCCCCCTGTTCCCTGCGGGGGGAGAACTCTCTTGGGCCTTGTGTTTTCCTTTGGCCGGATGTACAGAATGTTCTTGGCGTCCTCCCAGTTCCAGGCCTGGCCAGGAGGGAGGGGGAAGAGAAGGAGGAGGAGGGGGAAGAGGAGGGAAGAAGAAGAGGAGGAACAGGAGGAAGAGGAGGCAGGAAGCGGAAGAGGAAGGAAGAGGGGGAGGAGGAACGGGAGGCAGAGGGAGGAGGAAGAAAGGAGATGAGGGGAAGGAGGAGGAGGTGGCTTTGCTGAGGAAGGCTGTGCCGACTAGGTGTGCCTGCTCGCCAATCCTTCTGCATGTGAGTTAAGTAAACTCCTGGGGTGGGTTGCAGATAGAAGTTCTTAGATTTTTGGAGGAATAAAAATTATGCTGGGGTGGCCTCACAAATGCAGCTCCCAGCCCCACCCTCTGAGATCGTGGTTGGGCAGGGCTGGTGGGGCCCAGGAACCTGTGCCTTGAAGCCTCCTCTCAGTCATTCTGCCACAGGTGGTGGGCAGCATGCACTTGAGCAGCCCGGAGCTGGAGGCTGCTGATCCCGGGCCACCTGGGAGCAGACCTTTCCCAGGAGACCCCAAGCTCTGTGCCCAGGGGTGGGCAGTGGAGAGGACCTAACTCTTGACGGTGTCTGTGGAGGTGACATTGGCCCATTTCAGAAAGCGCAGCATGCTGGTTCTTCTCAGTCTACTTCCTGTGGGTCATCTGAGCAAACTCCTCCCCGACTGCCAGCAGCCTGGAGCGTTTTCTGCGCAGAAGGAGCTGGGGAAGGCACACCAGGGCCCTGACCCAATGCCAGCAAACCCTCAGATGTCAGTGCTCCCAGCAGCTGCAGCATCCTGGCTGCGACACCCCAAAGGGGCTCTGGAGTGCAGGTGACACGCAGGCTGGCAGGTGCACTTGTGCTGGGACCCCGCCCACTGATGTGCACCTGTCCCTGGCGCACCATCCCCACTTGTACCAGTGCTTATCCGTGTCTAACTTTGAAACGAGTTTAAACAGTCTTAGAACAATTACCAGCTCCCTTGACAGCCCCATTTACAGTCTTTGTATGTCAGGAGGTTTTTAGTGTAATTCCACAATTATCTCATTGCTTAACATCCTCAAATGCTTTTGTTGATTGCCACACAGAACATGCAGGCTTAGCTTTAGCTTAACAGCTTCAATGTCAAAACCATGAACACTGATTGAGCTTTCCTTAGTTATGAAGTAATTACCAAGACACCGACAGACGCTAAATGTCTAGGGAGGGAACCTGCAGGCCTGGGGACGCAGCACTAGTTCTGAGACCAGGGTGAGCACAAGGCGTGCATGGGCAGCGCGGACAGCACACGGGGCTTACCTTTCGTCTACGTCCTGGAACAAACAACTGGGTGTATGTGTGGTCGTAAAAATTCTCTTTTCCGGAGGAATTCTAGGGGCTGAAAGAACAGAATTTTGCTCAGATGTCTGCTTCTGAGGAATGCACACATTTTGTAGTTACATGATGACTAGAAAACCACGTGCTTCGTTCAGTGACGGGCTCTGACGGCAGCCCGAGAGCCCTCGCCAGCCCCTCGGCTCTGTGGGCCAGTCCTAGTCAGGGAAGCCAGGACTTCCCGTTACAAAACCGCACGCTACGCACGGGCTTCTCAGAGACTCCTGCTGCTGCAGGGCCCTGGTCAAGATTTTAAGATCCAACAAGATGAGCGGAACAAATTCTTTTTAAAAATGAGTTAAGTATTTGGATTGAAACTTGTGCAAACATCAATGTATTGGGACTTCAGTTTCTAGGATGGGCAAAGATAATTTGCATAAAGAAAGTCATATCCAGAACTTTCCTCAACTTCCAAATTCATGGACAAAACATTCAAAATTCCAAATGCTTTCTACTTGATGGAGACTGACCTTATGGGCGAATAACCTGCTGAAATGTAAGTAACCCTATCAATCTTTGGGAACTATTTGGAAGACAATATACTATATGCAAGAACCCATTGAATATTTAAAAGCAAGCCACATACCTAAAACATTTCTACCGTTTAATAAAATGCCTTTGAAAAAAAGACATCACTGCCCTAACCGGTTTGGCTCAGTGGACAGAGCATCGGCCTGCGGACTGAAGGGTCCCAGGTTCGGTTCCAGTCAAGGGCATGTACCTTAATTGCGGGCACATCTCCAGTGGGGGGTGTGCAGGAGGTAGCTGATCAATGTTTCTCTCTCATTGATGTTTCTAACTCTTTATACCTCTCCCTTCCTCTCTGTAAAAAATCAATAAAATATATTTTTTAAAAAAAGACATCACTAACCACTGAGAGAAGGTCATAGATTCTCTGCTTTCAGAGGTTCTGGCATGGGGATTTGCTGAGTTGCCACAGTGCTGTGGTCAGTATGAGACTATGTCACAGCTTGGTGTGGGGGGTCATTAGGAGGACATGATCAGGATACTTGAAGAACCCAGACTTGGTAATTTGGGGGGTGGCCCGAGGAGCTGGCAGGACCAGGAAAGGACACCTGGTGAGATAAGCCTGCTTCAGAGACCAGATTTCTATAGGCAGAGATGCAGAGGCGGGGCTAGGAGTAAACACAGGGGGTCAGGTGGCCAACTGTCTGCAGGAACCTGGTGTCAGGACACCAGACTCAGTGGGAGGTAAGAGTGGGGATGGCTTGGGGTTCTGAGGAAGAGCTGGTGTCCCTGCACTTCAGAGGGACCAGGGCCAAGGCCTGGGTGTACACAAGGATGGGAGGGACTTGGGCCCAGACTGTCAGGGCTGTTCTCACTGCATGGATGGAAGGCAGTGGGTGGGGAAGGGCACCCGCGGTCACAGTGATGGCCCGGACATGGGTGAGATGTTGGCACACAGACCCTTTAATTGCGTGGGGAGGTGGTGTGGCAGGGTCACAGGAGGGCCAGGTGACAAAGGTGGGTGTGCTGAGTCTCGAGGGACATGGAGACCCTGTCCATGGCTGGGGAAGGCTGCGCTGGAGTCTACCTAACAGAAATTACATCTGAGCCAGGGAAGTAACTGAGGGACCAGAGGAGCCCTTGGCTGGCCTGGGGCTGCGGTCACCTTCGTAGCCGGAGTGCACCCTCTCTGCCAGCAGCACGCAGCACAGCTGGCTCTCAGCGCCCTGCTGCTCCGGCACCTTGACCAGGTAAGGCGTCATACGGAACGGGTGGTAGTGGATCTCATCTTCATGGTTCTTCCCGAAGCTGAAGAGGAGGGTGCCATTAGAGGGTGGAGTTATGACAGAAGGAACTGTTCCTCCCCCACAGCTGGCTGTCATCTCAGCAATCCCTTCATTTGTTGTAAAGATGCCCTCCCATCCCACCCCAGCATACTGGTAGATGGATGGGCTGCCCTTGGCATGCTGTCTGTGCCTCATCTCCACCTGAGAAGCTGGGCCCACCACCCAGCCCCTCAGATTTCCGATGATGTCACAGGGTAAGTCACAGTCATCAGCCCTGAGAGATCTATTGAGCTGTCTCTAGAACAGTTTGCATTTTAATTAGGGAAAGGGATGCTGCTCCAACAGGGGGTCCTGGTCCACTTTCTGAGGGCACCGCTGTCTGGCCAGGGGTCGCTCCTGACACTGCAGCTGGAGGCTTATCTGGTCACCTGGTTTTAGGCTAAAAGCCCGTTGGGAAAGCTACAGGGCTCTCCCCAGGAAAATGCACTTAAAAAAATATACTCTCAAACCGAAGGCTGCATGTACTTTTGGGGTCCCCAAGGACCCCAGGATACACGCCTCCCCAGGTAAGGCCCCTGGCCCGTTTCCAGGTGATGGACAGCAAGTCCCAGCTCCTCGGGCTGCCATCCTCAGGGAGCACTGGTTGAAATCACCCCACTGTTGACCAGGCTGTCTTAACCCCTTGTGAACATTTAAAATGCAGCTCTGGCCACGTGCTTTCTTTTCACTCACTTTTTTAGAAGTATGTGTGTTGCATGGCCCCTCGCTCCAAAGATGGGAGCACAGCCAGTCTCGTGGCCTTCCTGCCCGGAGTGGAGCAGGGACTGGAGGGAGACGTCTGGGCCTCCTGCACTTCCCACCAGGTGCTCAGGATGAACTGGTTGGGCCATTTCAAGTTTAGGAAGACCTGTCACTGGGCTTACCTGACACGGCAGAAGAAAGACTTCTCCTCCATGCATTCTTGAGTGGAAGAATCTGAAAGAAAAAGCCTACAGTCACCCACCCAATGACACGACGACGTATGGAGAGTGCCGTGTCCTCCTAAAGACAGCACCAGAATCAGAGCCAAGGTGTGGCACAAACCTGCCAGAGCTCAAAGCGAAGCCTCAGAGAGCTTTTATCCCAGTTCTGGCTAAAATGAAATCTATTCATGAGCGCGGCACATTCCAGAGTTTACAGCCAGGGGTCTGATGCCCCCAGATGCGCCTGGGCTCTCCCCGCTCTGCAGACTCACCTCAGACTCCAGCTTCTCAGAACTTCATTTCTAAAATGCCTAACATGTCCTAAAAGATGTTTTCTCCCTCTCTGAAATTCATGAAAAGACTATTTTTCTCTCTAAATTTATTCTGAACAACTTCTGATCTCTCCCCTGGACAGAGGACGCCACGGCTGTGCTGGTCTCCGGCAGAGGTGACATGGGCGGCGCTCCCTTCCCCTCACCTGTCCCACTGCAGACACTCCACGGAGGAAGCTTGTAAGGCGTGGTGGAGCTGTGGAACACGCTAACGTCATGGGGCGCCAAGAACTCCACGAACTTGGCATCGTGAAAGGTGTCTCTCTTACAGCGGAAGATGGAGGCCACCTGGTTGGAGATGTACAGGGTTTTCCCGGTGACCAGGGACACAGCTGCAGCAAACATGTCCTGGAAAGGAAGAACATCTTCGGGTCAGAATGGGCAGAGGGGCCGGAAAAGGATGGGCACACACTTGGGGCAGGTGACAGGAAAGGGGCACGGAGGGTCAGGGAAGGCCTCTGGGACCTTCAGTCCTGACCAGAATAACTCTATTTCCCCTCATATATACTGGCGTCCAAGGGGTATTATTTGAAGAATCACATTGGGGCTCCACTCCAAAAGGAACCCAGGGGTGCGGATTCCCACGGGTGTCATCCATCCAGTATTCTTGGGTACAGAGCCCCTGGTGTCTGAATTGAGAGGTGGAAGGGCCCTGCACACCTCTCCCTTTGTCACCAGGGCTGGGGTGTCCCTCTCCTTGGGTGCTGGGGACTGTCTGGGGGCTGCAGGGCTCTGGACCTCTTGAGCTAAGGACTGGTTGGGGGGTGGGGAGTACTGGAGGAAGGTGAGAAGGAGTGGGAGCCCAGTTCTCCAGACAGCTTTGAGAAATGCTGCCCTCTGAGAAATGGGGGCTCAGGGCACGGCCAACCTGCTCCCCGTCCCGACCTCCAAGGGCCCCACCTTTATCAGCCACTTTAAAATGCATCAGGTTTGGCCCTAGCCGGTTTGGCTCAGTGGGTAGAGTGCCAGCCTGTGGACTGAAGGGTCCCAGGTTCGATCCCAGTCAAGGACATGTACCTCAGTGCAGGCGTGTTCCCTGGCCCTGGTGCAGGAGGCGACCAATTGATGTGTCTCTCTCACATCGATTTTTCTGTCTCTTCCCCTCCCTTCCACTCTCTCTAAAATATCAATGGAAAAATATCAAGTGAAGATTTAAAAAAATAATAATAAAATAAAATGCATGGGGTTTGGAGTCTTACGAAGCTGAGTTTAATCCCAGGGCACCCCCCCATGAAGCCCTGAACAGTGAACCAATTGCCCCCTGGCGTGTCCTCACCCTGAAGTGCACTGTGTTTGGTCACAGTGTGTGAGGTGCCGGGTGGAGTGGCCAGGAGAGCACAGGGTCTGGGAGACATCTGGAGCAGGACTTCTGAACCACTGACTGTACATTCTTTTTCTAAGGTCTGAACTCACTTCCTGAAACTCCAAACTCTGCTGCCATCCAGCCACCGGCCAGGCGGTCACCAGCTTACCGAAGAGGACTCCCCACAGGAGACACTCACCGTGCTCTTCATAATGACCTCGGAGGTGGCGCTCTGGATCTCCTCTATGGTGTAGGAGGGCACCTCCGGGCCGCAGCTGTGCTTCTCGCTGGACATGAGCAGCTGGTAATACTCCTCGTTGGCTGCGCGAGAGACCAAGAGGCAACTCCTAACTCACTTTTCTCATGAAAAGTGGGCTAGGAGACCATCTCCTGGACACTGAGAGACAGATCACAGAAAGACAAAGGCAAAACAGAAATTTGGGGGTTTTCCCTGAAAATCAGAAGGTTGATGGTTACAGAACTTTGTAAACAATAAATACACATTATCTTAAGTAACAAGGCCACAGAGTTCCATCTAATGCTCACTTTCCCCACAAGGTTGTCAATCATGATGCAATGTCATCATGTCCATGCAGGACGGCTGTGGTACCCCTGCTCTGCCTCCCGTGGTGGTCTCAACTGACACCCCATCCAAACAGAATCAACTGCTAAGGTCACTGGGCATAAGAAACAACACATGGAACAAACTTCTCAGAACAGACCCTGAAGACAAGGGCCACCCATCCTGGAACATCTGGCATGGCTTTGGGGTGACCCAGCCATGGCCAAGAGGCTAAAGAGGGCCCCTTAAAAGGCCACACAAACCAGCACACAGCCACTTTCCATGTCTGGCACAAACTCTCCCAGCCAGACTACATGAAACAAGCCCTTCCCATGGAATTCATCCAAACATTAGAAATGTGAACACTATTTGAAATGTGGCTTGGTATCCTCATTAGTGACAGGCTTTGCTTTGACTGCAGGCTGTACCTTGAGATAGTAGCTGATGGTAACAGAATAAAGCACTGTTTCACCTTTCTATCAGCCTTGGAGGTTTTTTCTACTCTTATGCACGTTTCTGATGTGTGGGGTCCACTGAGTCTCAGTGCATGTGTGAAATACGTAAGTGAAGGTCAAGTGGGGGGAGGGTTCACACATCTACCCTAAGGAGATACAGTGGGGCCTTGACTTACGAGTGTCCCGACTAACGAGTTTTTCGAGATACGAGCTGTCTCTCAGCCGATATTTTGCTTTGAGTTGCGAGCTAAAATTCGGGTTATGAGCCAGCTTCAGATACCCCACTGCTAGTTGGCGTAGTGAACGTCACAGTGAACGAAAGCCACAACATCAGCCCAGCATCACGTGTCTCACTCATTCACAATTGATTTGACATACGAGTAATTTGAGTTACGAGCTCCGTCACGGAACAAATTAAACTAGTAAGTCAAGGCCCCACTGTACTGACTTTCCCTCTGACTCAGCTTACTCGTCAGTGGACCAAACAGCTAAGAAATCCCTCCACGTGCAGGGGCTGGGGGTTTCACTGTAATGACAAGGGTCCATAGAGTGTCCCCTGTTGCAAGACTAGGACTGCACACATGCATACCTGCCCCAAGACTTCTACTGTTTCTCTGAGGCACTGAGGACATTTAAGAATTCTCAAAGTTCTCATCCCGTTTCCCAGCAGCAGACTAAAAGGCCAGGCTGCGAGGACCTCTCGACCAACTTTATAGCTAAACCATCCTGAGGTGACCCTGAGCACAGGGTCCTGGCCTGGAGGCAGAGGCACCGAGGTGACCTGAGACCCAGGACATGGGGTGTCTGCCCAGTGGAAGGTCTGGTGGCAGGAGCAAGTGAAGGCAGATACTTAAGGGCTTGGAGTTGATTGAAATGGAAAGTGTCTGAGCCCAATGAGCTAACATTTTGGGTTTGCAGTGTTTGCTCATAGGTTCCTGCATCTGTGAAGGTTCCTGCAATGTGTCCTTAGACAAAAACCTTTCTCTAATCCACCAACTGGCGCCAAAAGCTGTCACATGCTGCCATCTAATGATAAAATCCAAACATGCCCACAGGTGGATGGAGGCTGGATTTCGGAGGTCCTGTTACCACACACCTGTGATGGAAGGAGGCACTCTGCCCTGCCTGCCTTCCTGATCCAAAGCCCACCACCACTGAAACTTACACGTTTTTAGATAAACAAGAAATAAAGGTGTGGCTTAGTGGTTGAGTTTCAACCCATGAACCAAGAGGTCACTGGTTCGATTCCCAGTCAGGGCTGTGGGCTCAATTCCCAGTCGAGGGCGTGCAGAAGGCAGCCAATTGATGATGTTTCTCTCTCATCAATGTTTCTCTATCTCTATCCCTCTCCCTTCCTCTCTCTAAAAATAAACAAAAACATATTTAAAACAAAAAGAAATAAAGAGCCCAGGGTCTTGAATGAAGAAGCTCTAAGATATTGTCTTTCAAGGATGAGCTCTGTTAAACCCACCCACCCCTGGGGCCCCTTCATGTTTTCTTTTAAAGGAGGGGCAAGTCCTCAGCTAAACACTATGGGATGTTTCGCTTCAATTCCACTCTGTGCTGCCCACATCATCGGGCCTTCAGTGGTCACCCACTCCAGCCAGAGCTTGGAAGATGCTGCACTCTCCTCACCATGACCTGACCTAGCCCACAGCACAGAAGTTTTATGTTGTACATAGGTTTCTGTTATCAGCTGGCTTTCTATCCGCTTTATTTTTTCCTCTAAAAATCAAGTGCAATAGACAGCTTCCAGTGAATTGAGGTTTTCAATTGTGGCAGCTCCACAAGGCTCCTAAGCTTCTTTCTTCAGTGTCAGGATTGAGTTTTGAAAGCCAACACAGTCCAAGCTGTAATTTGGGGGGGGGGGGGATCTGAAACTTACTTCTACAGGTTGGAACAAACACATGAGGCAGGCATACCTTTCACCTGCTTCACGCTCCTCAGGGCGTACTTCAAGGTCGCCAGCGTGCTGGCTTTCCCCTTGGCCTTCTTGTCTGTGGGGAGGTGGACCTTCAGCTCCTTGAGCGTTCTGATTAGTTCCTTGTGCGTGTTGGCTTTGGCAGACTGCTCACTACTAGAGTGAAAAAGATCAGACGTTAGCTTTCTGGGGCCCTTTTCTGAAGAGATGTCCGTCTGGTCCAGTTTCTCAACCGGGCACTAGGACATCTTGGTCCATACAGTTCTCTGTGGTGCCTGCAGGATGGTGAGCAGCATCCCTGGCCTCACCTATGTGAAAAATAACATAAACGGAGGCACTTTAAAATGGAGTTGGAGCTGCCATCCCCAAGCAAGCTGCCTTGTAGTCTTGCTCCTCAAAACTTTGGAGTGTTAGAACAGGGCAACATTGTGTCCCAAAGAACTGTTTACAAAGGTAACAGGAAAGCAGATATTTAGCCACTAGACTGAAAATTAAAAAGTGTTTAGAACTAGTGTCACTATGTTACCTTATGTGCACTACAGAATGCCTTCCTTCTATGGATATAATTTGCTCCCCTTCCCTTTCTCATAAACACCCCTTGCCTTTGCCTCCTAATTGGAACACTATTTGGGTTTCTGCCTGAATCAGTGGGTCCTAAATAGCTGTGCTTTTTTTTTTTACCTACAATAAATGCTTGTTGCCTCTCACTTTGGCCTTTTATTTTTAGGTTAACAACTACTGGAGACCAGCAACACCCTCGCCAGCTGTGACAACCAAAATGTCTCTAGACATTGCCATGTCTTCTGGGGCAGACGACTCGCCCATGGGTGAGAGCCACTGCTTTAACACAAGTGAATGGGTCAGAAATCCCTCCAGCTGGCTCTTTTCCCCATGAGTGAGAGCCAGGCTGTGCCCAGCAAGGCCTGCTGGTCGACCCTCAGAATCTGGCTGAGCAGACTGATGGTTGAGCTGGGCCTTCCTGTCTGCCTCAGCTAGAAGATGATTAAGTGAAGGAGAATACAGAGGACAGCAGTGGCTTCCTGGGACATAAAGGTGAATGATGAGTGTAGGAAGACCCCCAAGAGGAGAGGAGATTTACAGAAGGATCTTCAAACTTAAGGAGCAGAGACAGGGAAGGCAGGGCTGGTGGGCACCTGCTGAAGGAGATGGACATGTGTAGAGCAGAAGGTGCAGAGAGAATGGTGGACATCAGGTGTCTACGATGGCAAAGTGCCCTCATGCCCAGGACTACGAGCTGGCTGTGGCTCCATTGAGATGTGAAAGTGTCTGTGGATAGGAAACTAAGGATACACTTGTTACAAATACCTAAACAGCGTGAGGAAGTTCCAGATGAACAGGTGTCAGACACAGACAAGGTCTGCTTGGATAGAGCCAGAGGAGCAATAGATCCAGAGCAACATGGGAGACTCCAGGCAGCCTGCAGGGACAGTCGTGACTGGAAGGGCACAACTGGGTTCACAACACAGACCAATAGGTTCTAGAAGAAGCTTAAAACAAGTCACATACCCCCAAACCTAACCTCCAAGGACAAATCTTTTGGTTTCTCCAAAGATTCTAAGTCAAGGAGGTTCTAACTGGCCTTACCTGCAACCGCTTGTAGATGGGTTGTGTTCAGACTTCGCCAGCATCAGGCTATAGGCACTTGGACTATAAGGACAAGAAATAAAGACAGAACTCAGAGACTGTTCCACCCACAGCTCCCCCATCTAATCAGCGATAACAGGCTGGATCACACCACAGTAAGAAACATGAGGGTAGCCGAAACCGGCTTGGCTCAGTGGATAGAGTGTCGGCCTGCGGACTGAAAGGTCCCAGGTTCGACTCCGGTCAAGGGCATGTACCTGGGTTGCGGGCACATCCCCAGTAGGAGATGTGCAGGAGGCAGCTAATCAATGTTTCTCTCTCATCGATGTTTCTAACTCTGTATCTCTCTCCCTTCCTCTCTGTAAAAAATCAATAAAATATATTTAAAAAAAAGAAAAGAAACATGAGGGTAAGGTAAAACTGAAACAAAACCTTCAGAGACCAGGAAAAGTAGGTGTTGGGAGATGAAGAGCCAGTGCTAAAGGAGCAAGTTCATGTTCTACAAAGCACTCAGCTGCAGGCGAGGTTACCTGACATGCCGCCTCCTAAGATCTCGTTATGAACTACCGATCTGTTGGCAATTGGATCTTCAATGGCCAAGTGGCATCATTAGGAAGGACAAACCCTAGTACATTTTAGTTATTCTAAGTTAACAAGATTTTCAAAAATCTGGAAAAAGTTGATCATCATGATTTAAAGATGGTAAAGCAATCAAATTACAACAGAATGAGACCCTGAAAAGACAAACAAGGGCCTTGCCTCCACGGGCCCCAGCTGCCCCTACCTCTCTTGAGAATCGGGTGACTCCACCAGCATCCCCAGCTCCTTGCCACTGTCGTCACAGTCACTGCCCTGCGAGTCCCGCCCTGTGGAGCAGTTCTCGTTGGTCTCATTTCCGCTTGAGCCACTGCTCATGTCGACATCTTCCTGGAGCAAGACCCTGGATGTGGGCTCCATGGACTCCTTCGTGGGGCTACTGGGGTTGGGGGCAAATCCAGCAAATTCATTCATGTTGGCTCCTGAAGGAAGCTGGCAAACGAGAAACATGTTGTCAGCCAGAAAGAGTGCAGCCTTTCCGTGACTGTCCCATCAGGGCTTTCTCCATATTTTGCCAAGTGAGGGGGTAGCAGTCACGGTCATTCACAGGTATCTCATGGGTATTTTTGTTTGTTCTTATTCACTGAGCTGCCACCAGCCGTGAATTCGGAAGGCAGTTGAATTAGGCAGCCACAGCCCCTACATGGCAAGCTGCTGATGGCCTCATGAGAAGGCAACAAAAGCACTGATGACCACTGCCCAGCATGTGGGAACTTTGGGAAATACACAGGTTCCCACTGAGTGGCTGGCAGGGCCTGGGATCCTACAGGTTGTCTGGGATCTCCCAGGTGATATGGGGAGCAACTGGGTTCAGAAATCTTGAGCATCACAAGTTACAGGAGACCCTGAAACCAGGCTGCAGGCAGGGGGAGAGGTGAGGCTGTGAGGGGCGGGTGTTACCCTGTGAGGAGGGCAGAGCAGGTGGGGAGCACATGAGTTCCAGGTCCTGCAGGCATTTCCAGTGCTTGACTAAGGGGATCCAAGTGGAGTGCAGAAGTAGGCAGAGTGCAGAAGGGAGGGAGGCCAGCGAGGAGTTTACACATAAATTACACATAATTTATCTGGGAAACGACTAGGAACCATTGAAGCACTGCACTGTAAGTACAGACTGATGTGACTTAATTTGCATTTGGACCCAAGAGCAATCACACTCCCTGGGGTGAACTTTGGCCACAGGGGACAGGTCAGCAGAAGTGGTCAGCGGCTAATTCCTCTCTCCATCCCTTCATTGATTGGAGCGTTTAGAAGCTTTCTGTCTGTCCTTTCCTTTCCTCTCTTTTCCTTTCTTTTTTTGGGGGGTAGGGGGGTAGTCTTGCTGATGAGATCTCCAGGGGCTGAGTGATATGCTGGGTATCTGTGAAGCAGGGCCTCATCATTAGGACATCATCACGTGTGTGAGTCTTGCCTTTTCCTCCTAATTTCCCTTTCCCTCACCATGGCTGCCCTGGGATTGCATCTCTCAGTAAAGTGTAACCCTCTACCCAGACTTTGCTTTTAAAAGAACCTGAATGAAGACAAACTGAACAGAGTGACAGAGCAGGCTAGCTGGATGCGGAGGAAGAATATTTTAGGTAGGGACAGCAAGTGCAAAGGTCCTGAGGCAGGGAGTTTGAAGAAGATGGCTGAGTCTGGAGTAGAGGGCAAGGCAAGAGGAGGGTGATATTAGATCAGAGCCAGATCTGCACATCAAAGTGGCAGAACCTGGACTCTGGCTTTATTCTGAGTGAGATGGGGAACTGCTGGAGAGTTCTATGCAAGATGTGACTCATACTTTAACAGGGTTGCAGGGCATGGGCAAGGTGGAAGCAAGATCTCTCAGAGGGCTCTTGCTATGGTTCAGTAGAGTTGCCAAGGGGCTGCCCACCCAACTTCCTGGACACCTCCTATGTCATCCTGCAGTCCTCCTCAGACAAGCAGCCAGTCCTTTTTCGCTGAGTGAATTATGAAGGCTGAGCGGTTACATGAGTAGCTCCTGGGTGGTGGGGGCTTCTGTGGGTCCCCCACTTTCTGACCGTGTGGTCTTGAGCAAGTTTCCTTCCCTGTCCCTGTTTCGTCATCTGTCGGATGGGGCCACAGCAGCACCTGCCTCCTACTGGCTGCTGGGAGGGTGAAAGGATGCAGCCCATGCAAGGTGTCTGGGATGCAGTCAGTGTCCCACAGAGGCTAGCTTTCATCATCACTGTCCGTTACGATGGGAACACAGACACTGTAACAGAAGTAATTTGTTTAAAAGGAGATATTTCATTGCCAGGAGAGCTATCTCTGGCTGTATGTAAAGGACTAAGCGCTCAGCTGGCCCCACCCCAGGCGTACAGACATCCTCAGGAAAGAGCACCACACACTTTGCTTCCATCACGCCCTGAGGGCTTCGCTTAGCTCCTTGCAGGAGCTCCTGGCTTTCATGGCCCAGCACCAGGGAGACTGAGTAGGGCTCACTGAGTAGAGTCACGTGATTACCTTAGGTGGAAGACAATCTTTTTTTGCAAAGAGAGTCAAGTGAGCATGCAGAAATGTGAAACAACAAACCAAACCAAATCATCCCAAACTTCATCTTTCCAGAAAATGCATCACTCAGCACTGACAGCTCGAATGGACCGACCTCAAATTGCCAAGTTGGCAAAACCAATGTGCCCATCAAATCAGACTTTGCCTCCTGCCTTCCACAAACATTTATGGAGCACCTGCTCATGCCAGCACTGCCCAAGCCCTGGGGAACCCCAGGAAAGCTGGGTTTCCAGTTCTGGGGGTGGTGCTCATGGCTCAGGGTGCCAGGGGCCCAGGAAGGAAAGGGGCTGCCTGAGAAGCTGGTGCCTGCACACCTGCCCCTCGAGGTTCCTTTGCTGCCCCCTTCACAGATGTCTACACGCTGGCTCTGTCCCTGGAGAACAGTCAGACCCAAGGAAGGGCTTAGCTCAGGCCTTGACTCGGGTCATTTATCATACCTCCGGTGGCAGGCGCTGCCTCTGCTGCACAGAGGGCCGTTAGAAAGTGCAGTCTGCAATGAGGTCATAGTCTGGGATGGGTTTCACAATACAGGAGGGGGAAAAGGTGGGGATGGAAGGAGGGGGCCAGAGCTAAAACTCTTTGAAACTGACCGATGGGTTCATGGGGATTCATTACACTATCCTCTCTACTGCCATATATTAAGAGGTTCCATAAGAAATAGTAAAAAAATAAAATAAATAAAATAAAAAAGGGAACAAAAGCATAGCCTGGGTCCCAGTTCCACTTACCATGGCCACCCCAGGATAGGTAAAGGCTGCTCTCATTCAATAGCCTTGAGCTTAAGGGGAAGTTCATTTCCTTGTGAAAATCAGAAATCAGCTCAATCACTTAAGGCAATTGGCTTTTTGAAATGAAAGTATAAATACACACAGAAAAGTCCCAAATCATAAGGTCACAGCTTGATATATGTCCACAAACTGAGCACCCGTGTCCCCAGCCCCCCAGATACCCACGGTGGTCCTTGAGCCACCACCCAACCCTGGTCACACACCACCAGTCTGACTTCTCACAGCCTGATTAATCCTGCCTGCCTTTGCACTTTATATAACAGGATCTCACAGCCTGTGTTCCGTGTCCACAAGCTGGCGGTATGTTACAACCCAAGATTTATAATACGTTTGTGTCTTCCTGGTAGGAGCCAAGTCCCCAAGGCCAGCCTGCTGTAATCTGAAGAAAATGTTTGTCCTGCTAAACAAACACCGTGCTCTCCATGGCAACAGCTGGGTAACTGAGGAAAATGTGACGGCAGTGTCCAAATATGGAGGGGAAGGAGGCTGGGGAGACGCACGTCCTGGCCTCACTAGACACCTCCACACTCTGAGCTCTGCCTGGTGACACCCCAAACATGGAGCAGCACAGATTTAAAACAACAAAGCAAAAGCGCCAGCGTCCCAGCTGTGGCACTCAGGGAGCCGGCTGCCCCAGTGCCTGTGAACAGCGAGCTGTTCTTACTCTCCTCTCTGTCACCCCAGGGAGAAGAGCACGAGGAACCCCCAAGGCCTTCAAGAGCTAGAGCCCCTCTGCCTTCATGACTGCCAGTGGCCTTGACTCCTGCCCACAGCCGGTGGCTGCTCACCTGGTCACTTTGCACTAGACTTGGAAACACAACAACAAACTTGTCACGATGTGCACAAAGGAGCATGAAGAGTTGACAGAGGTCCCTGTCAGGACCTTCAGGTTCCCTGCTGGATCCGCAGGTGGGCCAGTGTCTGCAGGGTGGGGCACAGAGCATCTGCATAGCTTTGGGGTTGTGTGTTTCTAGTGAGTTTTGCCTAAGACGTAGTGTTCGGCATCACTCTTTCTTTAGACTAAATGCTGAGAGGTCCTGCCAGGCACTCAATGACCTGACAGAGCCTGTGGTTTGCTGAGGCCCAGGGAAGTGACATCATCATTTAAACACAGAGGTGTGCCTGCCAGGATTTTTCTAAAAGTTAAGTGTGTGCATCAGAAATAGTACAAATGAAAGGAAACTTTCCTGTTTCCTTCTAAGCAGGCAGACATGCCTCACAGGGGATGTGCCTTCACAGAGTAACCTTATGTGGCCTGAAAGCAAGACTGTGTCAGAAATCTGTGCAGGTGCCTGGGGAAGTCATCCTCAGAGGAAGGGAATCCAAACACCTAGGAACTGGAAAAGACCTCAAAGATGGCCTAACCCAGTGGTTCTCAACCTGCGGGTTGTGACCCCTTTGGGGGTCGAACGACCCTTTCACAGGGGTCGCCTAGGACCATCGGAAAACACATATATAATAACATATTGTTTTTGTGTTTAACTATGTTTTAACGATGTTCAATTTGTAACAATGAAAATACATCCTGCATATCAGATATTTACATTACGATTCATAACAGTAGCAAAATTACAGTTATGAAGTAGCAACGGAAATAATTTTACGGTTGGGGGTCACCACAACATGAGGAACTGTATTAAAGGGTCGCGGCATTAGGAAGGTTGAGAAACACTGGCCTAACCTGAGCCCCCCTTATAGAGAAGGAAACTGAGTCCCAGAAGGGGATCTGAGTCACCCAGCAGCAGCTGGCAGCAGGGCTCCCCCTCTGCACCCAGCATCCAGTCTCCAGAGAGAGCCAGAGCTGCGTTCGTGCTGTACCAGTGAATCACACAAGGATGACGATGACAGAGAACTGCAGACACCCACGATATCATCCCTGTGTTGGCATATCACGCAGCTTCCACTTAAAAAGGAGTCCTTTTCCCATTTTACCCACGCACTTCATAAAAAGTGATTAGCTTTGGATTTCAAAACTCAATGGCCAATTAAAGCCTCAGGTAGAGTTCTGTCCCCTTCCTAGTCCAATCCAGCCCGGGACCAGACACTCTGGGTAAAGGTAGGAGCATCTCCCATTTGCAGCCAGGGAAGTCAGTGGCCTTGCTGTGTCAGACGGGGGAGGTGAGAAGTACTCGTGGGGGCTTCTGCCATGCTGCTCGGGCTCTTAACATTTGGGGATCTGAGACCCCTCCTCCCAAATTCCAGCCCTCTCAGGGAGTCAGCACCCAACTTTAGGCTTTCATGGAACCTCAGAAGCTCAACCTGACCCAGCTCATGACCCTCAGGCTGATGGGAGGACCCTGCAGGCACCCTGAGCTCAGGCCTGACCAGGCTATGATGTGTGCCTAGCAGGGATCTGGGCTCCACTGGCCTCATCTGTCAAGCCAAGGGGTTACCCTCGATGATTTCCAGGGTACCTGCTGGCTCCGTTGTTCTTTGAGTATGAATCAGCTTCCCAAACTGGTTTCTTTGCGTGGGTTACAGAAACCATGACAACCAAGTTGTCATCCCTTACCCTGGCCTTCCTGGAGAGTTTAGCAGGCTGCCACTTGCCCCTTGGCCTATGTCTGGGACTTGGCAGCCAAAGGGACACCAAGAAGGATGGTGTGACCGATGTATCACAGTGGGACCCCCTCTTCTACGCAAGCTGGGGAGAGAGAATGAAGGCAGGGAAGTCCAGGGTGGGCATAGGGGGTGAGCAAGAGGTAAGGTCTTCCTGTCCCCAGGGTTCCCAGGCCGACCAGTGGCCCTTCCCTAGCTGGAGATTTGGCTCTCTGGTCTCAGGGCAAGAAGCCAGCTTCCGAAGGGGCCCTCCACGCTCCCAGAGACAGTTGCACTGACCCTTGGTTGCCTTCACCTTTCCTGGCCTCTCCACTCTAGGCGTGGGAGGGTTCATAGAAGAAAATCACCTACAGAAAGACAGGCCGGTGTGGTGTCACAGCCGCTCCGTGACCTTAGACAAGTTGCATAACCTCTCTGAACCTGTTTCCCGATCTTCAAAATGGGGATAACAGTACCCACCACGCACCCCAGGCCAGTCTCAAGCCAAGAAACAATCAAATGGCCCAGGAAGCTCTGAGATCGAGCTTCCCTGGGCTGGCAGAATCGCCGCCGTCGCTCGGAG